TTAAGGGTGTTTTATTGAAGGGTACACGTAACAATGAATTAAGATGTTTTATTGAAGGGTACACGTGACAATGAATTAAGATGTTTTATTGAAGGGTACATGTAACAATGAATTTTTTTGAAGGGTACATGTAACAATGAATTAAGGGTGTTTTATTGACCCTTGATAAAGTTTTGCCTCTACCTTAAATACTTAATTTTTGTGCTTGTTTTATCTTGTGATTTTATACGATGTACAAATGTCAGTGTTAATGTTGAACAAACATAGACTTTTATTGTGGACACATTATTTAACATGTGATGACTCCCAATGTTTCTTCTGCTAAAGTCTTCTCTATGTGTTAATACGATGTGAATTAGTCCTAACTAGATATCACTCGGAAGTTTTGTCGCCCACTGTACAATTGAAGACGTGTAGGAAAGTAGGGAGAGGGGGGGGGGTTGAGTTACATTTATATTTATAAGACAGACTAATGGTTATCACCCCTGGAATAATTATAGTTCAGAGTGTAACTTGGCCACGTGTATTTTCAGAAGTGTCCACTTTTGGTTAATAACGATCTGGCACTCAGTTAAAATGGAAAATGATCAACCAACTGCTATAAAAACCTAGAATTCACATTGCTGTAGCCTACATGTTACACATGCTACAATCTACCGTGGATTAGAAACTATACGTGTTCCATTTTGCTCCTGTAGCACGGAAGATACAGCGTTACAATGTGTTATATTCTGAATGTTACACGTGCTACAATATATTATATCCTGTGTGGTACACACGCTACAAACTGCTGTAGTCGGGATGTTACAAGTTGTTTTAGTCTGTAACTTGCATGCTACAGGGATACCAAACTTGAAGCTTCAACGTGATTGAATCTCGGAGAACGTCACGTATATTCGATTCAAAATTCCAGTAAACGTTGCGCCGTTTCCAAGATATTCTAGTTTCCTGGTACGGTAGGTTTTTTGTACGATGAAATAACTGTTATTTTATGATCGTGAAGAAACTTCTTCTGTTACATTTTCTGTTTATTAAAAACTCGTCTGTCTAACGCGGGACTCGAACCCATGTTTCTAGCGAACTCTGTGTGTTAGAAAACAACCAGAATCGTGAGATTGTAGTTGTTTTACACCAAAAACCTTCTTGTTTACACCACTGGAGTTGATGGGGTTTTACAGTTAACACTTGAAGCGCTGTAAATGTATAGGGTTTTACAGTTAACACTCGGAGTGCTGTAAATGTATAGGGTTTTACAGTTAACACTCGGAGTGCTGTAAATGTATAGGGTTTTACAGTTAACACTTGAAGCGCTGTAAATGTACAGAGTTTAATGATGAACACCTAGGATTACAGTAAGGGTACAGGGTTTTACAATTAACACTTGAAGCGCTGTAAATGTAAAGAGTTTAATGATGAACACCTAGGATTACAGTAAGGGTAC